ATTTAAATAGTTTTACGGGCGGGGGTGGGGGCTTGCTATTGTAGGAAGAAATAACCAAAATAGCAAGAAAGGAGAAGACATTGAGTCTTTGGTGAGTACTTGTGAGAGAGCGTAGCCCTCTGCTGACGAGCGCGGGAACTACCGCCAAAGTTTCGTATTTTCTAACTCCCACTGTCCATGCGTTGTTTATTAAAACGATGCACTATAAGAAGGAAAATAAATTAGCAGACACAGGGGTGTCTTTATTTCAAACTATAGAACAATAAACTTTTTGGTTATTGAAGATTTTTAAAACAAACGGTGAATCACCCTTTGTATTTCAACCATATTATCGTATTTGAATTCTTTTTTTATCGGTTCAAGTAGCACTGATAAAAGACAAGTTAGCGACGACGACGAAACTATGTAACACGTGTCGCGATTATATTTGAGCTTACCCGCAAGAGGTGTGCCAGTTAACGTAACACGAAAGGCTGACTTAAGAGATACGAGAAATACTTAAAACAAGACCTACTTTTATAATTACCCCGCTTCTTTCGAGATGAACTGCAAAGCATTCTTGAAGAAGTTATTCTCAGCAGCCATTACCTGGGCTCCACGGCGCAGACCTTTTCCATCGCGAAGGAAGTCAAGTATCGAGTTCGAAATTTGATGAAAACTACTCGCGAATGCTTGAGAGTTGCAAAAAAAAAAAAAGACAGAACAAAAACTGGACAACGAAGTTTGACTTATTGTTAGCCTGCAACGAAGGAAGCTTTGAACGTCGGTCTCATTGTTGACGCATCTTGGTTCGAAATGTATTACATCTTTTTAGACAAAACCATAAACGTTAAAGCTTCATCGAAGAACCGAACAATACCATGATTAAAATCCATGATATTAGGAAACAAATTATCTTTCAATCCTGGCTCTCGTAGTCGTAAATATCTAATAGATTGAAAATTTCAGAAATAACGTTTCATAATAATGAAAAAATGTAAAATGAGAAATTTATATTATATTTTCCAGACTATCCAAACAAGCATACTTGATAAAGGGATAATGTAACATTTCCTTTCTTCAAGAATTCAATATAAAAAATGTGACACAAAAAATTGATTAATGAAAGTAACGGATACGTTTTATGTTTCGAAGCTTCGTTGAAAATATTCTCGAAGGAATTTCAATAGAACAGACCCAACGGTTATTTTTGTGGTGTCAACGATGGGATGAAAATAGGACAACATAGGAAGAGACATTAAAAGCATTTGTCGGCATGAATTTTTTGTTGCAACCGTAACGAATCCTGCGGTTTTCATTCTAACGATTTGACTGAATTCCCGTCGTTGTGGGTGAAACACGCTGAAGACTTCTATTCAGGTTCGATTTAACTTTGCCGCTGGCGTACCATCGGAAGTTAAATTAGTAGTAGGATCGTTCAACAGAGTTGCATCATGCTCCAACGAGAAACATTCAGTCTACGCGCAGAAGGATAACCGCATAAAGGTATTATATTCGAAAACATAAATGTTACAATTGACATACTTTCTTGATTATTCTAATAATAAACGCTCAAAATAATGCCCCTCGAGGGCGATACACTATTTAACAAGGAAATTCCACGAACTCGGAAATTCAGAAAATTTTGTGGACGAATGGACCATAATACTGTGCGAGGGAATGGAATTCCATTGAAAACATGGCTTCCCTTTTTAGTAAAATATCTCCAGAACGGTCAGGGACAGGAAAAAGAACTTTAATCAAAGTTGCAATTTTTTGTAACGTTTCTTACATGATAATATTAAAATATAATAATTGTAATTAACGATTCAATTTGTGAGATAATCGTGGTGACAATCCAGCGATAAATAGATCGTGACGACACTTCCTACACTCACCAGCAGAGGGCTACGCTCAAACTATACCACTCTCACAAGTACTCGATCTACATACTTATTCCTATGTGCATACATATGTATGTGTGTAAGTGTTGGGGTGTTACAAAAGGAAGAGAAAAATATATGACTTTACACTCTCACTTTATAGTTTATTAATTTTTTAAGGTTTAGAAATTGTACGTATGGATACAGCTTAAAAAATTCGAGTTTCGACTTCAGGGTTACATAGTTCATTCATTCCCTTGTGTTAGTATAAAATCTTTTAAATAATTTGTGAACGTAGCTTTAAAAACACAGTTCAACTTTATTATTAGACATTTCAGTCTTATGTTTCGACCAATTACAGTAGCAATGACCTAAATAGCTGTGGAACAAGTAGATGTAAATATGATAGAGTTAATGTAACGTACACTCTTTTTAAGTAAATAATAATCCACTAAGGAGAAATTGATTTACTAACTACATATCACAATTCCACAATAAAATATGTAAATTACAATTTGCTACACTGCCTAAGAACTTCAAATGCCTAGTAAAAAAAAAATAAAAAAATAAAAAAATAAAAAAAATGAATTTGGAACATTTGCAACTATAAATAACTTTTTTCAGAAATACGATTAATATTGTTACAAACAACTTTATTTCCAGTTTTTGTGTTTTTATATCCTTTGTTCGCGTTTGAAGGGAAGCATATTTGCTCGGTAGTCGATGAGCGAGTACTTCGTCGAACATTTGCGAGCCCTTTCGTTCGAAACGAAAACAGACGCACGTATATAATGTCATCGGTGACTGATCTTTATGTAGCGATCAGTTTAATAGATAAATTTTCCCTCCGAGTGATTTTAGCGACGTAACCAATGCGGATAGCCTCGACTTTCCGTGAGTGCATTCTGGGTAGGTAATTTTTTCCGGCACGTCGAGCGTTTGCACGTTGGCTCGAATTGAACTGGGAGTTACGCGGCCTCCAATTAAATTTCTCCATTGGTCCGCCAGTGTGATTCGAAATCGATACTACGTACCTCGAGTGACATCGTGTAATAATGTCGATGAGCTGACTCGTCGAGTACGAACATGTGGAAAAAAGAGAGTTTCTCTGGCGGTCTGGAAAATCTTCTCTGTCGATGTTAAATGGAAATGCTGTATTAGCCTCGCCGTACAAGGTATTTCGGTCGTTCGATAATTTGTAATATTTCTAGCCCTGAAGATAGCAAATACCTTCACCGACGATGCATAATGAAAGATCAGTATAATTTGTTATCTTCCTACACATTGGTAGTAATTTTTTTTTATTAAGCATTTGAAATTGAGAAAAAATAGCGTAACTTTGTAATTTGCATTTTTTGAGGAAGATACGAGCTTTCGAACCTGTAAATAAGCCGTGATTGCTTATTTGCAATTGGAAACTTAAAACTATCGGAGGGTTGATTGATCGAATTCTTTGCCTGTGGTAGAGATCATATTGTAATGGTTATTATGTTGAAAGAGTTTAATTATCGATATTTCGAATATTATCAAATTTTGAAAATTATTGATTTCACAGGAGTTTAAAATATCGCCACGGTTTGCAAGAAAGCTTTCAAACACTGTCCATTGATTTTTAAGCTATAAAAATGGTGAAACCTCGCTCGATAGACGACGAGAGCATGTGTCAAATTTAAGGATGATCCGGCTTATAGTTTCTCATTAAAAAATTTTCAAACATGACCCATTTTTCGAAGCGTTAAAGTGAGAGAACCTCTTAAGGTTAGAAGTGCCATAACGGCTTTCATAGCTTGCAAATTAATTTAGTACCTCGGTGCACGCGATAAACTGAGAACGTTGAACAGCGATACGTTAATTGGCTTTTTTTTTTAAGAAGCTTAGACCGACGAATCGTTCCAAAATAAAATCTTGAGCAAATCCAGACATATCCTTTTTTATAATTTTTATTTTCGTGCTGAAAAGTAAGAAAGTTTCGTATTAAACGATGTATGTCCTGCTTAGATAATTTTTTAGTTTAAATTTATTTTTAAGCGTACTTAGATCTAAAATAGTCTATTCATCTTAGTAATAGAAATAAGTAATTAATTATATATTTTAATCATTCCAAACTTTTTCGTTGACATCATCAAGTTTTGTTCGTATAAAAATGAAAGGGTCTCAATTTTTTGAGGATACAAGAATCGTGATGCACGAAACCGTCAAAGGGAAACGTTAAAGAAGCGAATATCAAATTTTTTCCAGGAAAATCTCTTCGAACTATTTAAATCGTACTTTCGGCTGTACAACACGCCCGTGAAATTCGCCGGAACTATGCGGAAAGTGTTTGACGTGGAAACGGGAGAACGAACTATTCTGCGTTATATACGCAACTTTGAGATTCGGGGTAACCAACGAAAAGCCACAGTAACTCACAGTCGAACGAATTCGGATAAAATTACTACAGCTGGGCTAACAGCTTTATTTCAAACAAAATACCTGCACGATTGTTGCACTCGATCTTGTCTTTAGGTTTATTAGATATAACGGATAAATATCGCGAGACAAATTGCGACAAAATCAATTAAAGGCTAATTTTACGCGAGTGAAACGATCAAAGAATGAGAAATAAATATTTTTAATGCTTGAAAAATGATTTCTCACGGTTTACTTAATTCGTGGTAACATAATCATTTGAGACGTAGGGTTCTCGACCAAGTTCTCATTTAGTTAAAAAATTTATATTCATCTTTTAATTTCGCACCAAAGCTGATAACACAAAAACGTGCTTTTCGATCCTTGAAGTTATACGTATGAAAAAATATGCATGTCATTGTCAAGAACAATATATACAGTATGATTTATTTAAATTGAACATCTAAGTTATTTCAAAGTAACAAAGAACTATTGCATAAGATGTATCGGTACAGCAAAAGGGGAAAAATTAATGTGATACTGGTTTATGGAGAAGCTATACAAAGTGTGGTTAGAGCATGTGATTTATATGCAGAACAGTATCCACCAGGACATCATCCTTCGTGTGTTCAATTTTTAAAAATTCTAAATTTATTTCTTTGCGTAAAAAGTATTAAAAAAAGTTACACACTTTCTCAGGATTGGGAAGAGGTTTGAAGGAAATTAGAGTGGCTTTTTTACTCTAGCATTATAGTTTATTAATTTTTAGAGAAACGGTTGCAAATTCATAGGAAAATGCTATTATACGAGACAGAAAAGTCAATTTTACGGCAAGAACTTATATATGGCCCCGAGAAATACAACAACCTTTCAATATCCAAAGTTTTTCCGGATGCTACTCGAGGAATCATTTCGAATGTCTCATTTATCTTAAGCATTCTTCCACTTTTTCCAGCTGGTTCCCAAATCACGCCATCGATGGGATTGTTATTTTTCGGTGTGGGATTTCTGCAAACATAAGCAACAATAAACTACTCACATCGAGTCATATTTCATTAAAATCATGATTTTATATCCATACTCAAATGAGAAATCAGACATACAAAATTCTACTCTAATGAATTGGATATCCATCAATTATTTAAAATAGGCGTGCATAAATTATTGTGAAAATTAATTTACATGACGTAGTTCAGGTTGTTTGAGAATAAAATTTGACATTATTTATTTTATGATTTTATGCTATTAAAAACTCCAATTATATTTCTATCAAAATTCGTATTAAAAGAATTTAAAAAAATACGAAATTGTAGCACATAAAAAGTGGATGGCTGTCCCCCACGCGACTAGAAAAGTTACCCTCGCTTATGCGACTAACGAAGGATTAAATGCGCAATGAAACTGATGACCATAGCGGAGTTAAAACTGGATGGCAGATATTTTCAGCGACAAAATGTCCTGTAAACCACGGAATACTTTTAAATTCCGAATGAATTCCTTTAACGTACCCATATTTGGCGAAATTCGCCCACAAACTGACACATTCGTGTCGAAACACGTTAAATGGATCATTCGGATCGGTAGGAGCGTTTATGTCATCTTCATTGAATAGAAATCCATTATCATCAGCGTGGGCAGTACCTGAAACACACAATAATATTGTGTACATTGTCGAATCCTAACAAACTGAAAATAATATCCCTTAAACCAGGGTTTCTCAAACTTCAGGTCCTCACGACTTCCTAGAATAAAAGAAAATTTCTAGTGAACCTTTTATAGCAGAATTACATAATTTAATATTGTTAAATATATTTGTGTTGCAAACATTTTTATTCAATTTAAATAGTATCTTAACACTCCAGGTTTAAAGTCCCTTTTAATCAGAGCAAAGTACTACGAGAACCATTTTCCTATTCCACGGATATAATATGTTCTTTTTTCTTCTGACAGCTCACAGAACTTCAGAGATCAACAAATCCAAATTTAAGAAACACTGCCACATTTAAGAGAAAGTTCCAATTTCCCAGTTAGAAAGATGTTACATTACCATTTATTGGAACACCAGTGGCTCTGTGTGGTGAATACTTCGACTCGTACGTTAAATAATAGTAATAAACGGGATGTTTGCCATTTTTCGCTTCCAATAGTTTTTCGGTCAAATCGAGAGCTGAGGCGGCGGCCAAATCTGATACGACCTGCACACAAGAAAACGCGACATGAAATCTGTGGAAATACTGTACACGGATGCATTGAGAACAACTTTGAAAAGTGTCTAAAAGGTTACCTGAGCAGTGTCATTAATGAGATTGTAGGTCAACTCGCGTGGCACAGCAGTGTAATTTGCTACTAAAAATAATGCTGTAACACATAAAAATGATGGCCAATTAGCCTACAGTAAGGATTTTTCGAAACTGCATTGATCCAGTATTAAAATCCAAATGGAGTTAAAACAGATCAAGTCTGGACGATTAGAGAGTTTGGAAGTGCAATTAAAATTAAATACAGAAAAGACGTGGTAACCATGGATCACTGCGTCAATCAGAATAAGTCCCCAGACTTAAATTCTAATCACCAATGTCAGTTAATACTTCGATTTGTTTCTACTATCGAGGATTTGTTATTAATATACTGGATTAAATAAATTATACAACTCATTGTTTATTGTACATTGAATTTTGAGCATCATGTAATAGTATTCACACTTACAAGGGGTAAACGCAAGAGCTTCGTTGGACGTCATTCCAAATATCTTCTCGCACTTCTTCATTTTGCCTGTCATAACCAACGTTATGGGGCATTCCGAAATGAACGTATTCTCCGGACAGTTCTTAGGATTTTCAATCGTTGGCATAAAAGGCAACGTGACCTAAAAATTCACAACTTTGAAGATGCGCGAAATAAACATTATCCTGCATCGAAAATCTGCATTGTGGAAAATAAATGATCAAGGGGCTTTCTGTTCGTTTTCTGAAAGTTTGAAGCCTTAAGAATATTACTCGCATTGTTTATCATTTCGTCGAACAGAAATAACACATTAGGTGTCACTCTTTCCATAAGAAAATAGAGCAAAGTCCAGCGGATGAATATAAAATTAAGGCTAAGCAAATACGTGTAACAGGTTTAATCAAGTATAAAAATATACTAAACAGTTAAAAATCAAATCGAATGGTTCTTGTACGAATAAATGCCAAAAAATCGGCGATTGTTATGCAACGGAAATCGAAAAGATACGCTAAAGCGGATGACACGTTTTAATAGTACTGAATACTGAGAAACAAAGTTGAACACTAACCACTGCCGGTAGCAAGTTCATAGTGTTCGTCACACGTACTATCTTTTCCGCAGGGACGTTAACGAGTTTTTTGAACAGTCTATTCGTGTTGAAATCATCAACACCAAGATTTAGCGCTAGATGATGAGCAGACGCAAGAGCTTCGATCGGTGTAGAGAATAGAAGATACAGCGGAGTCCCACTTTGAGTGATGGACCGGGTAAATAGATCTATGGAAAGACAGATACGTTTCGTTTTTTTCTGTTCATCACACGCCAAATTAATCTTGCATGATCAATGAAGATGGGTTAATCTTACACAATGTACGAACTAGATCAGTTTGGTTTCATGACAAAGCAAGGGATACACGTTCGTTACTTGAGAATTTAACCATAATTGGACCGTATCATTTTTTTCTTTAAGGGAGAAATCGACCCTTTTGTCTTTAATTATTACGAACAGAACAATCTTCTTTAGTCAATTTCATTCAGGAAAATTTCACGAATATATCTGACTATTTTAATCTTTTCTTAAAATTGGCAAACCAACAACGACTATAACTATAATTAAGTTAATTGCATATACTATTGTCAAATTTTATTAAAATCACTCAGAGCTACACCTTAGAACCAAAACCTGATAGTTTATTGTCTATTCGACCAGACAACTGACATAAGGAAACTGTCTAGTTTGAAGAGCGACGAGAAGTCTTTTCATTGTTAAGGACACGTTCTCTCAAATATAGCGAAGGATTTGTGCAAGTATTGAGAGTACCATACACAAATGGTATAATAAAATAGCATCAGACAATAGGATACCTTTCGATTTATCGGATAAATGATGAAGTAACACAGACGAGCCGCCAGCACTTTGTCCAAACAGTGTTACTTGAGATTTATCGCCTCCGAACATGGCGATATTGTCCTGCACCCATTGCAGCCCCATTGCTTGATCCTTCATTCCAGCGTTGCCCGGTGCACTTGGATTGTTCAGATATAGAAATCCTAAAATGCCCAATTCCTTGAAATTTGTTTATTCCATGACTGTCAAAGTAATGTCTGTCATCAAATGGTTTGTACCTAAAGCTCCCAGGCGATAACTAATGCTGACAACAATAACCTTTTGCTCTATGAAGAAATCGGGTCCGAACTGAGTCGTGTTCACGAAACCTTTAACGAACGATCCACCGTAAATCCAGACCATGACGGGCAGTAAGGCCATGTCCTCATGGAAGTCCAACTATTGCATGTGGAAGAAGCAAATGTTTTGAATTTTAACTAGAAGCTACGTTACGATAGTAATATTTTACCTTTGGAGTGAATACACTCAGATGCAGACAGTCTTCGTCTCCTATGTACGTATCATCCCCAAATATTTGAGGGCATACGCTACCCTCTTTAGTAGCATCCAGTACGCTAGTCCATGGTTTTACTGGTTCTGGAGCCTGTGGTAATTTTAAAGGAGATTGACAAAATTTAGAAAAATCGTTATGAGAATGCTCTATATTACATCTGTATCGCAATATATAGTAGCGAATTTTTTATTGCCAGTTAATATTGTTCGTGATAGTTGTAATAGAGTGTGGTGATGCTAAAAATATTCTTAATAAGATGTAACGAAAGTTAGTTACGTTGTACGAGTGTTTCATATTTGTACACTAGATATGTTCTGTATTTGAATACTGATAAACATCTGAACGGTTCTTGGTCCTTTTTCATAGAACGATAGTGGTTCTACAACCATGATGACGACTAGATGATAGACTGGTGAATGTCCATAGCTGTGTAGTGTATTTTTCAAACGAAATTTATACGTTTCTTTCTATGAACACTCCTAGAATTCTTTGAAATTAGCCTGTCGTTGAAGTATTACATGTATCGTGGTAATATAATAAAGTACGTAATTAACTCGTGTAAGATGAACGCGTTTACCCGAAACCTGAGTTTTCCAATCGCTGGCTCTGCATAACGGATTCCTTTGAACGAACAGTACTCTATTCCGTTCCATACCGTCTTCAATACTTCACCCTGGACAGGTCCGCGGGTTGTGTTTATAATCGGAGTATAAACAAGCCCAATACATTGGCTAACGAATGCTAGGAGTATCGAAACAATAAAGATTAAGTTACCCATGTTAGACATTTATTGTTTGCAAAAAATCAAACGTCTTACCACTCCAACGTTCGCCTTTTATAGCTGTTCGCCTGCAATTGTAATATTTTTATCGCTCATTCGTCACACATCATTTGCTTATCGTAAAGTTAAACAATTACTTATATAAACAGCAGTACAAAGTTACGCCATGCTACACAGTATATTGGGAAAATAACGGAACTTTTTAAATTAAAAGAAAAAAATTAGTTATTTTGCCAAAATTATTTTTTTTTATTCAAAATACATCCCTTCTGCATTAATACGCCGCTGGGCACGTTCGAATAGTGCCAGCATAGATTTTTTTATATCATTTTGTGGAATCGCCTCAATGACTCTTGTCACCGCGCCTTGGACTAACACTATCATAAAAAGTTCCGTTCATGGCCAGTTTGAGTTTTGGGAATAGGATATAATCACATGGAGATAAGCCCGGCGAATACGGAAGATGTTGGAGCACACAGACCTGTTTTTTCACCAAAAATTCACGAACAGCAACAGTCCTGTGCCATGGTGCACAAACGCTCTATAACATCCAGATAATATTCACCATTGACATTTTCACCCTGTGGGACAAATTCTCCAAGTATAATACCTTTAGAATCATAAAACCAGATCAACATTGTCTTCTCTCGTGACTTCTGGAATCGCAATTTTTTCGACTTTTGAGAGTCTGGAGACTTCCACGCTCCATTTTGGCGCTTTGTTTGTGGATCGTACTTGAAACACCAAGTCTCGTCTCCAGTCACAATCGATTCCAGGAATGTGCAGTTCCGTCTAGCTGTTTTAATAAGATCCTTGCAATTTTCAACGCGAGCAATCTGTTGGTCCTCATTTAATGCGTGAGGAACAAATCGAGCACAGACTTTCCGTTTGTTTAAGTCCTTTGTCAAAATTTTGTGAATCATACCTTTAGTCGTATTTAATACCTTTGCCAACCATCTCACACTTGAAGTCGCGTCGTAGGTAATCATTTCACGCACTTTTTCCACCAACTCATCGCGGTTTTTCTTTTTTGGCCGGCCTGGCTTTGGGTCATCTTCCAAAGCATCACGACCGTCCTGGAACCATTTATACCATTCAAACACACGTGTACGGGATAAACAATCATCACCATAAACTTTTTTCATGAATTCAAATGTTTCTGTAAAAGTTTTCTCGAGCTTGAAACAAAATTTAATATTTGCTTTTTGTTCCATTGTGTTTCTGCGACGAAGTGACAAAAGGTACTGCTACTTTAACCGTTATAACTTGACAATCTGTTAGTCGATTCCAATAATGATACTTTTGTTCTGCAGAGGAAATATACAGCTTTCAGGTTACATATTGTTTCAATAGATGGCATTAGCAATTTTCATTAAATTTAAAAAGTTCCGTTATTTTTCCGACATACTGTGTAGTTATACTTACGAAAGAAAACATGCTGTTTGGTGAAGCCACAATGAACAAGTATAAAAAAATTCATTTATCTTTACTGCCAATTTTGATAAGTTACGTTTTGATGAAACTACGCGAGAAGTGTTTGAGGTGAAAACGAGAGAACGAACTATTCTATGTTATATATGCAACTTTGAGATTTGGGGTAACCAACGAAAAGCCACAGTAACTCACAGTCGAACGAATTCGGATAAAATTACTATAGCTGGGCTAACAGCTTCATTTTGAACAAAACACAATTGTTGCACTCGATCTTGTCTTTAGGTTTATTAGACGTAACATATAAATGTCGCCAGACAAATTACGACGAAATCAATTAGAGTTTACTTTTATACCAATGAAACAATCAAACAATGAGAAATAAATATTTTCAATGCTTGGAAAATGATTTCTCGTGGTTTACTTAATTGTACTGCGTTCTGTTATGCTTCTATACGTAGTAACGTAGTCACTTGCGACGTTTCAGGTTTTCATTTATTTAAAAAACGTATATTCTTTTATTCTTACACGAAGACTGCATAATTTTTATTGACTTGTCTCATAATCTGACGTATTAGAATCCTACTTACAGAAGAAGAGGACCTCGAAAGAGTATGTGGCAGCTATTGATTTTTACTTACTGGACCAGATTGGAAATCTTCTCCAAAGAAATAACACACTTCAAGTAATTAAAGTAAAAGAGCAATATAGACTTTAGTGGAACTCTATTTAGGTATACATCGGAAGCAATTTATAAAGACTTCATCAGAAGATATCGATTTCATTCGATTACGTTTATATAAACCTTTTTCGCCATATTTTTATATACAAACCTTTTTATATCCCCCATCCATCGAATGATCCCTACTTTTTACATTTGAAATTTGTTAAGTCTCATCTCCAGAATGGTTTCAAAACATAAAGCATATAATTTCTGTATAGTGTGAGCCATGGTATCATAACAGAAATACGTGCTTTTCGTAATGGTTAAGTGTTGGGAAAATTTCCACCTACAAACCTTCAAGTTGCATCCTGGCTGGTGGGTGGTAATTTGTGCTGCGCAAATATTTTCGAGACCCACCCCCTCGAGAATGCAAGACAACTGATTGATCAGTCACATTGTGCCTCGTCGACACATCTTAATAATTAAGGGCGGGAAACTATGAGAAAATATAGACTTGTTGGAATATCTTGGAAAAAGATAGAGCCTTCTTAAAATTGTATTAGAGGAGAAGATAGCATTAACTCATGCAGCTTATTTGACATGAAATTGTCTAAATTTATTCATCAAAGTTTTTAAATTTGGACTAATCTGAAAGTCTCTAAGTTAAAAAATAAAAAGCCATTTATTTAGTTGAATTTTAAACAAACTATATTACACAAATGACTGTGTTTCCTTCAAGAAGGTCCTTCGAATAACGTTGACACATCACGTGTTTACTGAACAAAGCCTGAACGACGCAGGTCAGCCAAGGGCATCAACATACATACATGCTGTTATTAAGAACAATATATATGCACATATATCAAAATTATTCACTTACCTAATATTTAAATGTTTGTTATTATCTACTGGTATGTTACCATTGTGTATATACAGTGTTTTGTTTTAACTTAAAAGTATTTTGGAAACTACTTAAACTTTGTCGAAAAAAATGTTTCAAACATTTTATGTTAATCTTGTCTTGACAGTGAATCAAAGTCATGCACCTGCACCACGATTCTTGTAGTTTTTTTTTTAATGAAAACGCCCATTTTTCAATATGAATTTCAATAGCAAAAAAAAAAACAAATAGTTTTCGTTCTTACCAGTTCTTATGTTTGACCTTTGCACGGCGAATTTTGTGGCGGATATAAAGTTTATTCAATTATCTTGTTTGGTACTCTCCTGCTTTAATTTCGGAATGATAAGATAATAAAATAGACAAATATTGGCCGTAATTTCGGTCGTCAAAATTGTCTACATATGTATCTAGTCACTATATTTTCATCTTTATCTTCCAGTGAGAAACACTATTAATAACCCCGTATTACAATATTGTTCGCAACAATTTAAAGAAATTAATCAAAATAAAATTCTACGTTTGATTCACGAATATACTATTATTGTTAGGAAAAGGTATTCAGCAAATACGTTAGAATTTTGCTCACGAAAATTTTATTCGTAAATAAAACAAACGATTAATTAATTAAACACTTCCTATAAAAGTAAGCAGCTGTGCATTACAGGAGCATAAAAATGGCTATAACTTAAAAATAAGGTCAAACGCGACACATGTTGGCACTATGTCCAACTATGTTTATCGTTGTTTTTATGTTCCTTGCCCACCACTAAAGTGAGCACCACATTTTATGAAACACCCTCTATGGCGTTATGTGCATAACATCCACGTTTCCCGCTGATCTCGAGTTCATATTTTATTAGAATTAATTTTTTATGGGACCATTCTAGATGGCAAAACTAACAAAATTCCGTTGTCAATAAATATAGTCCACCTTATGTTTACATCTACCAAATGTGTTACTCTCACTTTCAGACGCAAGAATAGTTAACATTTTTCCTTAGAACTGCAAAGCATACTCGCCTGAACAATTTTTAACCATAACATGGGTACATTACTATGAAAGCAGACGAAGTCGTACGTTACCATATCACGTCGTGTCACATGAAACAAATACAATAGTACCAGATTTTCCAAGTCTTTGTATAACTCACTGTCACACGATATAAGATTACGCTCCCTGTGCAAGAAGGAATATTTCTGTTACTGACGTGCAAGTCATTCCACGCCAAATCGATTACTTTTATGTATGAAATATGTTGCAACCTCGTAAAAATGGAGGAGGAAATTAAATCATTATTTTGCTCTTATTGAAATCGATTAAAAAATACAGATCCTCAAAGTCAGCAGTTCCTACTTATATTTCACACTAATTTTCTTTCCGTAATTTTCTACATTTTTAAACAAGCCTATACTAAAAACCTAAAAGATTGATAAAAAAAAAGTAAATTAAATATCAAATTGTTTCCCGTGTATTTCTGCTCGTATTCTTGAAATTGCAAACGCTTTTTGAGAGAACATTTTCTTGTAGTTTACACGACTCCACACTGTACACAGCAAGGTGAACCGTGAAAGTTGTCCGTCCTAATTATTTTCGTCATTAGTGAAGTAATATAAGCTTTAACCGAGCCCAGCGTAGCTGAAGCAAACGTTCCTCCAAGAACCAATTGCGACGTATGATACAATTGTCGTTACATGACTGTGACTGATACAAATTATTATCTTTCTGTATTTTAAATTTTCTTTCCTTCTCTAATTCATAAACAAGCAACATTTTACTGGTCTCTCTTCAGTTTCAAGTTTGAACGAAAAGAATAATTCCAATAATAAAAAGCTGATAAAAAATTTGCGTTTGCATTTTTTTAGAGTATTGCGCTTGATAAAAAAGTGAATCATAGAAAAATGGACGCTAGAGATATATAGTCTGCCTCGATTTTCTTGAATATATTATATCACATAACGTTATCAGGGCAACGAAAAATATTTCTGTTTTATCGAACGGAAATATTGCAACGGGTTTAATATAGATACGGTTTCTGTA